CTCCCTTCCACGGCCACAGCCCACAGTCAAGGGCTCCTGGGATCTGGGGGACACTGCCCTGGGCCTCTGAGCCCTTGCTCACAACCTGCCTTGCAGGTCAGGGTCCAGGGACACTGGACAAAAACTTATTGACTTCCTGAGCCTACCCCTGTGTTGGGCCTCCTCACCAGGGACCTTTCTGTCACGTGTGTGTCCTTGGTGCTGCTGGCCTGGTCAAGAGCCTCTGGCAGTTTTATTTCACTCCTAAGCAGCTCCCTTAACCCTGGGCTTCCTGGGGGACACTGCCAGCATGGCCCAGCAGGGGGAGACAGAGGGACACATGCTCCCCCCCACAAACGCCCAGGGCCCCAGCTGGCCCATGCAGGGGTTAGGCTCCTGCTCACTGCCTGGAGGACAGAATCCAGTGAGCCAATGGGCGTCCCTGCTGTCTGCCCGCCAGGTGCTCCTGGATGGCTATCTGATGATCTGTGTGGACGGCGGGCTCTCCACCGATGGCTCGGACTGGTTCTGTTACCATGCCTCCTCCCATGCGATCTTCCCAGCCACCTTTTGCCAAAAAAACGAAATTGAGCTCACACCTCCAAAAGGTATGCCCACACTGGCCAGCACATGCTAGGCCAGTTCTAGGCTGGATGAAAGGGGCAGGGATGAAGCCACAGGCCCAGGTCATTGTCCAGGTCAGAACCTGAGGACACGGCATGTGAGAGAGGCAACAGAGCACCCAGGGCCCCACAGGCTCAGCCAGCTTGACCCCATGCCCAGTGTATAGTTGGTGAACAAGGTTCCCATGTGTCCCCTTGGACAGTGACCAACCTGGGTGCCAGGTCCTGGAGGAGGTGCCAACCCAGGAGGAAGACTGGGGACAGGGTCTTCCTCCCCGACCCATGTCCCTTTTCCCTCCACACCCGAGCCTCCTGCTCCCCCAGGGTACGAGGCGCAGACCTTCAGCTGGGAAGCCTACCTGGAGAAAACCAAATCCAAAGCAGCTCCGTCCCGGCTCTTCAACATGGTGAGCAGGCCAAAGTCGGAGCAAGGGTCCTGGGGCAGCCTCCAGCCACTCCTGCCATGTCCACCCACAGCAGGGCAGTTCCCGGCCCTTCTTCCTGTGAGGGTGTGCTGCTGAGGACCTGGGCACTCACTGAGCCTCGCCTTGGCTGCGCCTTCCCATAGTGGGGTGCAGGGGCCAAGTGGGCTAGAGGCACAGGGAGGCGCCTCCCCGGCCCCATACTGCTGGTAAGGGTGCTGACTGGCTTAGCAGCTGCCTCCTCCCCCAACCCCAGGACTGCCCCAACCATGGCTTCAAGGTGGGCATGAAGCTGGAGGCCGTGGACCTGATGGAGCCCCGGCTCATCTGCGTGGCCACTGTGAAGCGTGTGGTCCATCGGCTGCTCAGCATCCACTTTGACGGTTGGGACAACGAGTATGACCAGTGGGTGGACTGCGAGTCCCCGGACATCTACCCTGTGGGCTGGTGTGAGCTCACCGGCTACCAGCTGCAGCCTCCTGTGGCTGCAGGTGCGAGCCCGCGTGGCCCCAGGCGCTCTGGGCTCCCTCTCCTCCCACCACTCTTCCCACAAGCTGCCTCAGTTCTTTGGCATGGCTGGGCAGAGTCCTGGGCCCCTCTAAGCAGAATGCAGGCTCCTCCACACTTACCCCTCCTGACGGCCCCCCGGCCTGACTCCCCCTACCCCGGCATGCAGAGTCCCGCCTGCACCCTGTTCTCTGACATGTGCTTGACCACCCAGGCGACCACCCAGGGCCCAGCCCCACCCTCTCCTCTCCTGCCCTGCGTGTTTGACCTTGGCTGCCTCCCTGGGCAGCGCGTGCCCAGGTCTCCGACCAGGCTCCTAATCACACTTGTCCTTGTCTTGCAACAACAGAACCAGCAACACCTTTGAAGGCCAAAGAGGCCACGAAGAAGAAGAAGAAGCAGTTTGGGAAGAAAAGTAAGTAACAGCCCAAGGCAGCCCGGCTGCTCTAGGCCGGGGCAGTGGGACCGGGTCCTGGTGCGTGTTCCCCCGCGGTGCACCCCCAACCTGACATGCTGAGCTGGAGCACCACACTGCTAGGGAGTTCAGTCTGCAGCAGTTGGGACCCCAGGCACAACCATACTGAGGGAGAGTAGAAGGGTGAGACACCATCGGGGGCTCCCATGCTCTGAACCCCGCGTGACTGCCTGGGGACACACACTCCTGGACATGCCAGCCCGTGGTGGCCAGGGGCCTGCACAGTGTGGTACTGTGCAGAGAAGACTGCCCAGGACAGGACAGTGGACTGAGGGTCCGGGGCTGGGGACAGGTCACGAGGGACCCTGTGGCATTCAGAACTCAGCAGTGTCATGAGCTACAGACGAGGAAATCAAGGTTGGAGAAGGGAGCCACGGGCAGGCAGGTGGCAGTTAAGGTGCCAGGCCCCCACCGTGGGCTCGATGTCCAGCCTGGACATCCCACTGGCGCAGCCCCTGGGAAGGCAGCAGCAATAGCCCTCGTGTCTGTGAACTGGCCTAGAGCCCCAGCCCCTGCCGGCGGTTGTGGGAACCCTTCAGGGCCTGAGCCAGCAGGTGGGAACTCGCACTGTCCCCACCTGTCCACTGGAGAGAGCCCATCGGACACACAGCCAGTACCACACATTGTCTGAATCGGAGGTCAGGCTGGTATTCCCAACCAGGGGCACCTGCCCCTCTGCTATGCCACCTGATGCTGGCAGGACCCGGCCCTTAATCGCTTCCCAGCCTTTTAGCCAAGATCAAGTGTAGGACCCGGCTCTTGAAGCTTCGCGTGGATTCCAGCCTCATTCCAGGTTTGATTCCATTTTATTCAAAGGGAAAAGGATCCCACCAGCCAAGACCCGGCCCCTCAGACAGGCGTCCAAGAAGCCCCTCCTGGACGCCGAGCCGCCGAGCGCCAGGACACCGGAACCCGCTGCCGATGACAGTGAGGGCCAAGCTCCTGCCCCGGGCTCAGGGGCCGCCCCGCTCCTTCCCCACCTGGGAACACAAGAGTGGGGTCACGCAGGAAGGGGCCCCCGGGGCACCCCACCTGGGCGGGACCCCGAGCCCCTCCCTGCCCCTGGTGCTTGGTGGCCGGGGTAGGTGGATGTGGAGGCTGCCAAGGTCCCTGCACAGCCTGCCTGGCTGGAGCATACCTGGGGCCAGGGTGAGCAGCAAGGTGGAGGTCCTCACTCCACCCATGGACAGCCAGGTGCCTCCCCAGATCCTGAGCCCCTCCCCTGCCCGGGATCCCAGGCCCCTGACTCTGCTCTCCCTGCCCACAGTCATCGCTGTGTGTGTGAAGGAGGAACACTTGGACGCAACCTCCCCTGGCAAGGCCGCAACCCCAGAGCTGCCCATCCCCGTGGAGCACATCAAGCAGGAGACCCACGACTGAGCCAGCCCCACTGCCAACCTGGCCCCGCTGCCAGCTTGGCTCCATGCCCTGCGCCCGGGGAGGGCCTAGGCTTTCGGGGGCCGACCTTGCCTGCCCTGAGGCCGGCTGTCAGGGACCAGCCCAGGGTTCCTCTGACCCATCCTGCAGGGTCCACTGGCAGGACCCATGTGACTGGGCCGACTGGAACCAGGAGCCGTGGCTGTGGCCCATGGCAGGCGGGCTGGGAGAGACTGTGTGAATAAAGGTCCGGAGCCGCTCGGTGCCTGAGCTCCCTGCCTGATGCATGTGGTCACGGGGCAGCCTCCGCCCCAGGGACCCTGCTGGGAGCAGTGACAGGGCAACTTGTGTGCTGGCCCTGACCACTGCCTTCAAGGGGAGTGAGGAACTGAGTCAGGAACTGAGGCCTGGTCGTGCCTGAGGTGGTGACATCGGGGGTGACACCCAGTGCCTCAGTGCCACAGGCCCCGTCTGGGCCTGACCTGGGGCACACCTGACATTTCTGATCCCCTCCTGTGTGGCAGTGTCGGGCAGCAGTTGGCCCCGCTGGCTGGCTGCCTAAAACCAGCGCCCCCATTTCCACCATGGTCTCATGGAGGGAGGTGTAGTAGAGATGGTTCCGGCTCGCTGCCCTCTTCCCTGCCCTCCTCACTGGCAGCTCACCAGGAGTCTGCCCCTCACCCCCACGTCCTGCCTGACCTGCCTGTCCCCGAGGCTGAGTTGGGGCCCGCTATGCTCCTCGCCTGTTCTGGGCAGAGGCCATGCAGCCCTGGGTGGTCCCCAGCCCACAAGAGGTCCTGTGCACTGGCCAGTGGCCCATGCCACCACGTCTGCTGCTGGCTGTACGTGCTGTGGCCTGCTCAAGCCCTGGCCGAGTCTCCAGTAAGCCCAGGAGTTGGGTGATGCTGACCAGGGTTGGAGAGAACTTGCCCCTGCCCTGCACAAACCAGGCCCTGAACCAAGACACCTCTGAGAGGCAAGGAGCCGTGCATCCCCTGCCACTCCCATACACAAGCTCTGGCCTCAGGGTGGCAGGTCAATGGCATCAGCCCAGAGCTCGGCCCAAGGAGGTATCATTGCCAACTCCCCGCCAGTTACAGCTAGAAAGATGGCTCAGACCAGCCCCAGGTACCTCGGCAGCCTGCCCAAGCAGCCCTTTCCCCAAGCACCATGTTAATGCGTGCTAACTTGGGGCTCAGCCAGCAGTTGCTTCAGTTCACACTGCCCAACGACAGCAGTGGATGGCGAGGGGCGGGCCTGCCACCCCCACACACTCCGCAGGCTTCCCCATGTCCAGCATGTGCCTCAGAGGAACCCATGCCCTGGGCCCCCATTGAGTGGGCCCCTGGCATCCCAAATCCTCAGAGCTCAGGTCCTCCCAGTGCCCATGCGGTCTCACTTCCCGCTAAGGACTGGGCCTCGGGCCCCTCTGGGACACCCACAGACCCTCCTGCCCCTCTCAGATGCATTTGTGAGGTTTTGCTACAACTGAAGGTCCAGGCTGGGCCTGGAAACGTTGGCACAGGGGCTGACCTGTCATAGGGCCACCACTGTGGAAGGCAGATGGCAGGAGGCCGCTGCACTGCTGGGTGATGAAGGTGGGGAGCGGTGGAGTCGGAGCAGGAATGAACTCATGGAGACATGGGACCGAGGGTGGGGGCTCACCTGAAAAGCCAGCACCTCACAGAAGGCGACAACCATGTCCTATAGACCCCACTGCCCCAGGGCACAGCCTGACGTTGAGAATGGGAGGGTCTGTGCCCAGCTCCAGTGAGCCTGAGCAGCTCTGGGGCCTGGCCCGCCCTCCTAGAACTAACCTTGCCTTCTTCCTGCAATCCTTGGATAGATGGGCTCCTGGCACCAGGCCCAGAGGCTGCTGCGGCCCTCATGGGCTTCCTGGCAGCTACACTCGGGCAGGCTTCAAAGATGCTAGCTGCAGCCTTCACCCTCTGACCACGGGTACTGGGAGGCGTGGCGCAGGTGGCCCCCACCCGCAGGTTCAGCCCAGTGAGCCACCTGCAGGCAAGAGAGATCCTGGGCACCGCTGTGCTGACACTCAGCTGGGGTCCTCCATGAGGTGGCAGCAGGGACCCCAGGCCCCAAGGCTGGTGGGCTGTGATGGGGTGCTCACCTGTGCAGCGGGAGCAGCTGACAGTCGCAGTGGAAGGGGTTGCCGCTAAGGTCGATGAGCTCCAGCTGCTCGAGCCCCGTCAGGGCGGGCAGAGCCCGAAGGTGGTTCTTCTGCAGGTGCAGGCTCCGCAGTCCAGGGCCCAGGCCCAAGAGGGCCCCTGGAGAAATCTGTAAGGAAGGGCAAGAGCCTGATGTGAGGGCTAGCCAGGCCTTGTCTGGGCTAGAGGTCCAGCAAGGAAGAAGGGGACATGGGGAACTCAGGGACAGCAGGGCCGGGTCACAACCCAGGCTGGTCTCATGTCAGAGTTCTTGGTCTGTCCCAGTCACTGGGCGTCCAGTTCAGTCTTTCTGCTCCATGTGAGCCCAACAACCTGGTCACAGCAGAACCTCCTGGAGGTCTTAGAGCCTACAAACACAGGAACCCCCACAGCCCCCGGCTCCCTTCTCCATGCCCTGGTAGTGCCCTCCCTGGGCAGACCTCTAGCATCACAGCACGGGGTTCCACTTAACCCAGCTCCCACAAGGAGCTCACCAACAACAGGCCTCGGTCTGGTTTATATCCTGGAATCTGGCAGCATGGATGGAGTGAGCAAATGTTTGTTGAGGAGGGGAGAGGGCTGGTGTGTTGTGGCGCAGTACGCTAAGCTACCACTTGTGACACCACCAATCCCCTAGGAGCAGTGATTTCAGCTCTGGCTGCTCCACTTCCAATCCATCTCCCTGTGAATGTACAGAGAGGACCCTGCAGCCACGTGGGAGACCCAGAAGAAGCTCCAGGCTTCAGACCTGCCCAGCTCTGTCATGGCAGTCATTGAGGGAGTGAGCCAACAGATGGCAGGTCTCCCTGTCACTCTGCCTTTCAAATAATACCACCACCAGTTGGTAGAGGGAATGTGCCGACTGTGGCTTCGTGCCCACCAGCCCCTCCATCCATCCCTGCACACACCTGCTCCAGGGCACTGCTGTTCAGGAACAGGTGCTGCAGGGAGCGGCCCACGGGCCGGAAGGCGCCGGCATGCAGGACCCTGAGCGGGTTCCCAGAGAGCTGCAGTTCCAGGAGGGCAGGCAAGCCCTCCAAAGAGCCGGTGGGCACTGCCCGCAGCTGGTTCCTGTCGAGGTGCAGCTTTTCCAGCTCCTTCAAGGGGCCCATCGCTCCGGGGTCCACTTGGGTAATGCGGTTTCCACTCAGGTAGAGCCAGCGCAAGGCCCGCACCCCCGCCAGGTCACCAGGTGCCAGGCGTTCCACAGCGTTGTCCTGCAGGTGCAGGGAGAAGAGGCTGGGCAGGGCACGCAGGGCGGCACTGGGGACTTTCTGGAAGCGGTTGCGCTCCAGGTACAGGTAAGCCAGGCGAGGGGCTCCTTCGAAGGTAGCAGCGCTGAGGCTCGACAGCTCATTGTCGGAGAGGTAGAGGTAAGTGAGGTGGCCAAGGCCCGCCAAGGCCCCCGCCTCCAGCTCCGCGATGCTGCACTGCTGCAGGTGCAGCGACACCAGGTGGGCCAGGCCGGGGAAAGCAGCTCTGGGCACCGCCCGGAATGGATTTCGCCTCAGGTCCAGTAGCAGAGTGTCGTTGGGGAAGCCGCGGGGCACTTCCTGCAAGCCGAGGCCCTCGCAAGTGCTGTGCCGGGACTCGGAGGCGCACACGCAAGTGCGTGGGCAGGGCGCAGCCGCTGCAACTCCCTCCCCAAGGGCGCGCGGAGAGCCGTGGGGACCGGCGGCCACGCGCTCGGCTTCCTCCTCCTCTTCCTCCTCGGCATCTCCGGGGCAGCGCAGGTCCGACGGCCGCAGGGCGTCCAGGGCCTCGCCCCGCAGCCGCCGTGGCCCTCTGCACACGCCGTCCACGCGCACGCGCGCACGCGCCAGCCACTCAAGCAGGGGCCGTGCCTGGCAGCCACACCGCAGCGGGTTCCCCTGCAGCCGCAGCTGGCGCAGCTGGCCCGGCCCTTGCAGCGGGGGCAGCGTGGCCAGCTGGTTCCCTCGCAGGTCGAGGGTGCGCAGGCGCGGGCAGTGGACGAAGGCACGGGGATCCAGGGCCTGCAGGGTGCCCTGGTCCAGTGCCAGCTCCCGCAGGGCTGGCAGCACCAGCCCGTCCTCCTCTCCTGCATAGGTGAGCGGGTTGTAGCCCAACTCCAGCCGAGCCAGACTGTGGGCCTGCGACAGGGCAGCCCCGGGCAGGGCCTGGAGCTCGTTGTGATGCAGGCTGAGCCGGCGGAGGGCAGTCAGGCCGGCCAGGGCTTCGGGGGCCAGCACGCTGAGTGCGTTGTGGGACAGTTGCAACCAGCGCGCACGCAGCAGGCCCTGGAAGGCCATGTCTGGCAGGTAAACCAGAGCATTCCGGGCCAGGTTGAGCGTGGTCAGCGCACCCAGGGCACCGAATGTCCCAGGCCGCAGCTCCTCCAGCAGGTTCCCTTCCAGCTCCAGCCGCTGCAGCGAGCCCAGCCCATCCAGGGCCTCCTGGGGCAGCTCACGCAGGCGGTTGGAGGCCAGGTTGAGGAGGAGCAGCCGGCCCAGGCCACGGAAGGCCCCCTCGGCCACCTGCTCCATCTGGCAGTGCCGCAGGTCCAAGTGGGTGAGGTACGGCAGGTGCTGGAAGGCAGCTGGGGGGATAGCCTTCAGCAGGTTGCCTTGGAGGTCCAGGCGCTGGGTCAGCTGGGGATGGGAGGACAAAGCTAGGCTGGTTCCCACTATCTCGCCACTGTCTGTTCCCACTTTGATAGCTTGGCATCTCAGAGGGCAAAAACTCTGCGTGGTTTCCCTGCCATGGGGTCATGTTTAACTGCTAGGTCCCTGACTTACTCCAGACCCATGGGAACCATCTTCAATGGCTCATCTCCCTGCTGTTAGTCTGTATTCTTCCCATTGTACATTTAGGAAGACTGAGGCTTGGGAGCCAGTGTTGTGCCAAGCCCAGCCAGACAGGGGCAGACCCACATGCCCCCCAGCACCCTCACCCCACCTGTGAGGGTCCTGCTCACCTCAGGGATGTTGTCGGGCACCCCGGTGAGGTTCTGGTGCCGGCAGGCCACATGCCGCCTGGAGTTGTCACAGATGCACGTCTGAGGGCAGCGCTGGGCAGCTGCATGCCAGGCTGGGCCTGGTGGCAGCAGTAGTAGCAGCAGCAGCAGTAGTGGCAGTAATCGGGTGTGGGTGCCACTCAGGAGCCTGGGGTCGGGAACAATTGGCCCTCAGCCCAGAGCCCTGCCATGGGGCAGCTCCTGCCCCAGGACCTGGCAGAGCCCTCCTCCCTGGGGCCACCCGCCCCTGCTGCACACTGGAGGGCGCTGTTGCACACGGGCAGACAGCCCTGGAGGATTTGCCCAATGGGGAACGCAAAGCCAACTCTGGCCACCTGGGGTGGGAAAGGAGGAGGTATAGCAGCAATCTGTCCCCACACAGACCTGGCGTGGCAGTGGGGTGGGGGCTAGGGGCATTGTGGCGGCTGTCATGGGAAGCCAAGCGGGTAGGGCAGGCCCCAGCCGTGAGCGAACCAGCAGAGTTCTGGGGTCTGAGGTTCCGAAGGGAGCCACAGGCCAGGATTCTCCGCTCCTGCCCTCGGTTGATCTGTCCTTTCACCCCACTCCCAGCCAGCTGGCCAGGTGTACCCACCTGCCCATGCACTGTCCAGCCACCCACCCATCTGTCCCCTGCTGCCACGGGGACACTGCTGACTTCCCTCAGGCTCCACTCAGCAGCCAGCAGCCAGAGGGATTTTTCTGAAACACAGATGCGGACACTCGCAGTTCCAAGTCCACCTGCGTCTCCCCACTGTCCTGGGCAGAGTCCTGCTCCTGGTTGGCTGCCCTGCTGCCGACATACATACCTGCGTGTCCCTGCACACATCCATCTGCTGTGTGTCACCTGGCACAGCAGGCCCATCCTTCTGCTCTCAGCCAGGCCTCTGCTGGCCTCCGAGCTGCCTAGGCTGACCCCAAGGCCTCCGACTGCCCGTAGTCTCCTTTGGGTCCCAGGAGCTGCCCCTGCCTGCCTTGGAGGCGGGGCCTTGCGAAGAGCCTTAGGCAGACCTGGAAGCGGAGCCCTGGGGATGGGGCCTTTGGAGGGGACAGTGATCCAGGCTCACAGGCCTGCTGACCCTCACACAGCTTCCAGGATGGTGAATCCACAGTGGCCGTGTTCCCTTACATGGCTCCCCAGGCCAAACCTTACAGAATCCTGGGGCCCTGGAAGCTCCAGTTCTCCATGCATCCTTCCAACCCAGGGATCCAGAGTTGGCCCTGGTTGCCTCTTGCCGCACAGCTCCTCTAAGCCCCCCGTTGCGTCCCTAGGGCCTGAAGACTCACCCCTCCATGCCGTCTCCAACTGCCAGCGAGGCACACCAAAAGAGAAAGACTGGTGCCCGTCCCGCCTGGCCGCCTGCGGGAGCTCCCCCACTCCCTGCCCCCACAGCTGGCCTGGCAGCGGGGACATGGCTGAATGGGAGGCATTGTTGGCAGCCTGGCCGCACTGGGGCTTCCCTGAGCGGGGAGGGGGCAGTGGCTGGAATCACAGGGCTTCCAGCCTGGCGCCAGCCTGTGGGACAGCACAGCAACATGGCCAGGCCTGAACCCACGGGCCACCTGGAAGCAGGGGGAGCCCTGAGGAAACAGCCTGTTCAGCAGCCCTGGGCTCCCCAACTCCTCCGTGGGGAGCCTCTCACCAGCTAGTTTCCCAGTCTCTGAAAAACATGAACTGTCAGCACCTAGCTCACAGGGTTGCCATGGCACCCACCTGGCACACGAGTTATCCAAGGATGGGAAACTTCCTTCCACAGCTTGTGTTTCCAAACTCACACAAGCTATTCAACACAGCACTCTGGGACTGGAGCGGTAGCGTAGCAGCTAAAATCCTCGCCTTGCAAGCATAGCATCAGGATCCCATATGGGGAGCTGATTTGTATCTCAGCTGCCCCGCTTCCCATTCAGCTCCCTGCCTGTGGCCTGGGAAAGCAGTGGAGGACGGCCCAAGGCCTTGGGACCCTGCACCCACATGGGAGACCCGGAAGAAGCTCCCGATTAGTACAGCTCCGGCTATTGCGGCCACTTGAGGAGTGAATCAGCAACAGAAGATCCTTCCATCTGCATCTCTCTTTGCGGCTCTGCCTTTCTAATAAAAACAAATCTTTCTTTCTTTTTTTTTTTTTTTTTAACATTCTGGGCCTGGCGGTGTGGCCTAGCAGCTAAAGTGCCCGCCTTGAACGTGCTGCCGGGGTCCCATATGGGCACCGGTTCTAATCCCAGTGGCCCTGCTTCCCATCCAGCTCCCTGCCTGTGGCCTGGGAAAGCAGTTGAGGACGGCCCAAAGCCTTGAGACCCTGCACCTGCATGGGAGACCCGGAAGAAACTACTGGCTCCTGGCTTCGGATCAGCTCAGCATCGGCCGTTGCAGGCATTTGGGGAGTGAATCATCGGAAGGAAGATCTTCCTTTCTGTATATCTGACTTTGCAATAAAAATAAATGTGCTTTCCCATGCCACAAGCAGGGAGCTGGATGGAAGTGGAGCAGCCAGGACATGAACTGGCACCCATATGGGATCCTGACATGTGCAAGGCAAGGGTTTAGTCATTGAGCCACTGTACCCGGGTCCAAGAGGTACTTTCCATTTGCTGGTCCATGAACTTCAGCCATGTGCATGGCTGCGGGAAGCTGGATCAGAAGTGCAGTAGCCGGGACTTGGACTAGGTAGGGCCCACAGGGGATGCCAGCTTGTTTCCAGTTCTTGCTGTCACCTACAGTGCTGCTAGGAGCAGCCTTGTTATCTTTCCTTTTTTTGCATATCATTTTATGACAGTTTCATAGGCTCTGGGATTCCCACAGCCCCTCCCCAGCCCCTCCCCCATAATGAATTCCTCCATACTGTTACAGTAGTACACATCATACCCAGCATGATTCCTTCGCTGCGGGCATGGACCATGCGGAGTCCAGCATCTTACTGTCCAGATAAATTCAGCAGTTTCATTGGGAGACCATCCTTGGTCTGAAAGTAGAGCTAGCTAATATCATCTTCTCCAATGAGATGTCACTACACAACTTCAACAACAGGAAGAAACACTGACAGTAAAAGCATCATGAAGAAAAAAAAAATAGTAAAATAAATAAATAAATAAATAAAAACATCATGAGGGGTCCAGCGGTGTGGCCTAGCAGCTGAAGTCCTTGCTTTGAATGCGCCGGGATCCCATATGGGCGCTGCTTCTAATCCCGGAAGCTCCACTTCCCATCCAGCTCCATGCTTGTGGCCTGGGAAAGCAGTCGAGGATGGCCCAAAGCCTTGGGACCCTGCAACCGTGTGGGAGACCTGGAAGAAGTTCCTGGCTCCTGGCTCCTGGCTTCGGATCGGCATAGCATTGACCATTGTGCTCACTTGGTGAGTGAATCATCAGATGGAAGATCTTCCTCTCTGTCTCTCCTTCTCTCTGTATATCTGATTTCCAATAAATAAAAAATAAAATCTTAAGGAAAAAAAAACATCATGAAGTTAATTAACATGGTATTGAGTGACCAATATGTTAGAAAACGCAAGTTCTTAACCACATCCTGTAACTACTTCATTGACAACCCAGTTATAGTATATACAACACAACAGGCTGCTATAAACCTTTTTGTTTCTCCCAAGCTAACACGTTTTTAGTTTAACCTAAATCAGAGTGGCACAGGAACAGTGCAAGGATCAACATTAACATCCATCGTATACACAACAGCTGAGTACAAACTTAACATCAAAGTTTCTGTGCAGTTACATCTTGTTTAGCATTAACATTCTTAAATCGATAGTTTTTTGGGGAGAAAATTAAGCTACAATTTAAACTTTATAGTGATTAAGCATGGTTTTACAGAACTTTCCATTTTAACAATTGAAGAACAGTTTGGGCAGGTGAGCAGAGAAATCCCCAACAACCCAGTGCGTGAGGAAGAATTTAACTCTACATCCTACCTGGTACAGTCCAGGAGAAGCACATGGGGGCCTGAGCAGTAAGCACAGGCTGAGCGGTTATAGGCTAGCTGCCCTTTTCCCTGGCTGTTCCAGCCTTTCCATGTCTATATCTGTGTCTCTGCCTATGTGAAAAGCCACATGGGAAGCCTGATCAGTAGGGTACAAGTTGAGTGATTAGGGGGGTGATCCCAGCCTATACAAAAATTACCACATAATTCAAAATTCAAAATAAAAATAAAAATGAAAAAACCAAGCTGACTGATTATCAGCTAGCTGACCTTTTATCAGTCTCTATCTGAACTAATTGTGGGGTTCACAAGCAACCCTGGTGGTCAGTGTAGAGAGGCCTGGGAGCCAAGGCCAGAACTTGATAAGGGCCAGAAAAAGCTCCTCTCCTGAGTCCAGAAGGAAAATTACAACCCTTTTATCTCCGAGTGCTACCTGGGAGAGTAGTCCTGTTTTCTGGTCTAACCCTAACACTAGAGTAGCCACGGCATCCACTCTGGGCCGTCAGCCCCGTGCCGAGCAGCAAGGGCCTTCCCGGTGTGGGGGTCTACGGTGGCATGCTCCAAGGGGCCTGACTCCCAGCTGGCTGCAGCTCGCAGGGCGTGTAGAGCCGGAGGAAACACCTCATGTCACAGCTGCTCAGCTCTGTCCTCACTCGGGAGCTCAGGAGCCTCGAGCTACGTGGAGAGCAGGGCAGTCAGACGCGTTGGCTCCTGACACCAAGATCCTCCTGCCGAGGGCCCAAGAAGCCAGGCGTGGAGAGCCTGTGGGGAGTGGGCCGAGACCCCAGGACAGAGCCTGCATCTGCATCACTGTGGAGGGAACAGGCAGCCTGTAGGGCCTGGCAAAAAGCCCTTCACCAGGTGAAGACCCGTGGGTAGCCCCACAGCAACCAAGAGCCTCCACCTGTTACAGAGAAGCCGAGAGAATCCTGCTTGCCTCTCAGGTCTGTTCTTCCATCCCTAGCTCTTGCAGGCTGTCCCTTCTTCACTACCCAGTCCTCACAGGCGGCACCTGTGTCCCTGGCAAAAGTGGCAGGTTAAGCTGGCCACACCTCTACCTCCGTGGCATATCATCTCTTGGGCAGGGCAACCTGGCTACTTCCTCAGCCTCCTGCCAACCACGTGGTCCCCAGCCAGTCAGGAAATCATGTCTCCCAGGAAACCTCAGAGTGAACTCTTCTCAGAGGTCCCTAAAGAGACAAGGACTCTCCCTTGTAGCCAGTCATGTGCGCTGGTTTCCCAGCTAGCCTTGTATGGCCTGTGACAGACAGGGTCACTGTGGCCCAAAGGTGGGCAGTGGGTAAGAACAAAGTTCAGGTAGTCCTGACTCAGGCCACTTCTCCACTGGATTCCCCAGAGGAAGCCTCTGCCAGGGTGGGGTTCACTTGCTCAGCCGTGGGGGAAGGTCGCTGCTGGCCTGTGGCCGACAAGGCACACTGCGGCCCTGGAGGACTCCGGGCAATGAAGGATGCTTCGAGGCCTGTGCAGCTGCCACACATGAATTTATTTGTGAAGCTCTAGGCACAGCCCAGACACAGAGCACAAAGGGAAAGCAGACCCCACTCCCACCCCTAGAGGTCCTTTCTGAGATGAACTCGGAGGGGGGCTCCCTTCTCCCTCCCCTACCCAGGTAGGGGGGTCAGGGCTGAGCCCCCAGGCCGGTCACAAGCAATTCCTCAGCCAGGGAGGGACCCATCGGCACAGCTGCAGACCCCTCCAATCCTGGACAGCATGGCATCTGCGCTCTTCCAGTCCAGCTAACATGGAGGCCAGGGCTAGCCCTCTGCTGACCACCTGAGGCCACGTGCTGGCAGGTACTGCTGGGGCTAGTGGTCAGTACAGCAGGTATGGCCCAGGGACCGGGAAGATGGTGATCACATCAGAACCAGGGTTTAGAGACAGAAGGCAGGAGCACCCACTGAGCAAGCAGCCCCCAGCTGGGCAGAGGACAGACCAATTACCTCACAAGGGAAGGGACGGTAGCTCCCCAGCCTTGGGGCAGCCCAGGTGGGAGCTGAAGGTGGGTGGGGTGGGGTGACACAGCCAACAGGGCCCTGAGTGCGAAGCACAGACCAGCAGAGCGCCCTCAAATGGCAGGGAGTTTAATGGCAAAGCAGCCTTCGAGCTCCTTCCCCAGGGATGGGCGCCCCAAGCATGGCAGGGCCCGTCCAGCAGGGAGACACAAGGACCCAGATCCCAACAGGAAGCACACACCTGTACACACAGCACACAGACACACGCACCCGGGGACCCACCCTGCCAGAGTCCTGCCTGAGCGGAGGGCATGCTGCAGCAGAGTTTGTCCCAATCCAGGCCACGGACCGGGAGAGGCTGCTCCAATCTAGACCTTGTGCAGTGTCTGTAGCAGACTGTGGCGGGCAAATGAGCAGGACTCCAGGGCGCTGTTGGGCCTGTGGGAGAGAAGAGCCGGTGAGTGGGTGGGCACCCTGGGGCCCAGGAGCTCAGGCTCCAACCTGGCCCACTTCCCAATAGGGGCAGCCCTGATCATGCCAGATGTGTCTGCTAATTCCCACGATTCAGTCTCTCCTGGATTACACGTGAGGCTGAGAGGACATCAATGCAGCAAGGCCACACAGCTCAGATGTCAGGCAGGAGAGTCCCAGCCGGGTCTGCCACCAGCCGCACCAGCAGTCTCACTGCAGTGGAAGGACTGGGGCTGCCAGGGCTGGGAAAGTTTGGGGGGCAGCCCAGGAGTAGCCCAAGGCCCCCCTGATCCACAGCCCCACAGAGGCAGGTTCAGGAGCCAGCCATGTGGCTGAGCTGTGGATAGTCACCTGGGCAGATGGAGGCTTGCACAAGGACCGAGCGCACAGCCCAGTAAAGGCAGCCTGCACCGAACACCAGGGCAGGACTTCCTTCCTGGGGTCAAGGCCAAGGGCAACACAGAGAATGGGGACAGAGGGAACAGCTCAGTCGGGGTAGGGAAGGAGACAGGCCCAAGCTCGCTCATGGGAGGGTGATTCCACCCTATCTATCTGGTGCTACTGACAACAGTGCCACCTGCTGTGGGAAGGGACAGACCAGGAGGAGCACGCCATGCTGGGGGGCAGGACGGGGGCAAGACACTCATCGCACTGTGGACAGCGGCAGAGGGGCCTAGGGAGGCAGGAGATGGAATACCCAGACACTATGGCAACAAGGAAGTCAGCACAAGTCCTCTTGTTGCTACGACAGGGCCTCCCTGGGCCGTGTTCCCTAAGGCTCCCCATGTCCTGTGCAGCCAGAGGGAGAATTCGTGGCCTGGACCTCACCTGCGCCACATGGCCTCATGGCAACACCCACATGCCTGCAAGGTGCTGGGCTCACGGACGTGTAGCCACTCAGAGCTCTCCTGCAGGCCCAATGGGGAGGGCCTCAGAGAGGGGGCAGTGGACGAGCCTCTTAACCCAAATGGGGGGGCCTGACTCCTTACTACCTGTGACCCCTTGCTATCTATAACTGGCGTCCTGGATCAGGCCAAGGCTCAAGTCTCCAGGAGCTCGGTGGCTCCCATGGCAAGGTGTGGCTCCAGGGAGGGCCTAGGGCCGCAGAGTCCATGATGAGAAGCCCTTCAAGCCCTGGCCACAGTGGGAATGGACAGAACTAGTCCCAGAGACCCTGACAAGCACGGGACCCTCAGATCTGGGCTAAGATACTGGCCTGGTCCCATGCTGTAATGGAACACAAGCACATGTTGTAACCAACGCGGTGCCAATTTCCCATGGGCGAGAGCCATGGCATGGGAATGCCAATCCTGAGCACCTAGGGGTATGAGGGTCCCCATGAGCTCAAGTGGGGCACCAGGTCAGCAGGGCAGGATGGATAAGTATCTACAGGGCCACACTCACTTGGTCATGAATGCCAGCAGCAGGGGGGCCAGATTCTTGGGGAAATAGTCCTGCTGTACCATGTGGTTGAGGGCCATGAGGGGGCCATACAGGTTGGCGATGGCCTTGATCTTGTCTTCACTCTGCAAGGGAACAGAGCCAGACAGGTGACCTCAGAAGTCATCCGAAAGGTCCCGAGCTCTGCCGGTGGTAACCCACCCACATCCCAGAAACCCTAGCACGGCGTGGAGATGCAGGGAGCGGACCACCACTCTTCCAGGCCTCACCTTCAGCAGGCCCATGTGGATGAGCAGCCTGGTGAGAAAGGCATTGGGGTTGAAGGACGAGGAGCTGAAGGCCTTCTTCATGAGGGCATCTGCAGGCAGAAGGAGCAGGGTGCTAGGCATGGGCACAAGGGCATCCCCAGGCTCAGACCTGCCCCATCCCATCAAGAGGTGGACATGGGGGGGCATGAAGGGATACACGGACCAGACTGACCGAGGGGGCAGCTGGGACACCTTGGCTCTGTCCCCCTCCTGGCCTTCTAGGAAAGCATTAACACTGCTAATAGCTGGCAGGAATCCTGGGCTGGGTAATGCCAAATTTAAGTATACCAGTGTGCCAGTATGATTACCTATTTTCTTTTTTTTAAAGATATGTAGGGGGTATAGACCAACAAACCAGCAGGCAGGGTCTGGTGGGACCCATGCACTAGTATGCGTGGACCTTGGATAGGCAACAGAGCCCCAGGCGGACACAGCACACTGCTGGAGGACCAGGATTGGGGATCCGTGGGTGTAGGGGGCTGTGCATCGCTCAGGGAAGTGGGACTGGATACGTGTGGGAGGGAGGACCACTGAGGGAGGTGAGGTGTGACTTCTGGGGAACTTCCACCAACCTAGCTACTGCGCTTACAGGTAATGAGAGAGCCAGGATCAGGTGGGCTAGAGAAGGGAAGCCAGAGGACCTTTTGGAGCCAAACCAATACACCCACCACGTGGGAGACCTGATTTAGGCTGGCTGGTATTGACCACAGCCTACCAGCATACACAAAAGCCACAGAGGGGGGCGGGATTGCTGCCTGGCAGGGCTCAACCATAGAACCCGTCAGTGAGTGTTGGGGCATGGTGTGGACCATGTCAGGCTGGGCCATGACACTAACCAGCACACAGGAGAATTGGGCCTGGGAACAGATTCTGTGGGGGATCATGGGCTCACCCCTGTGGGACTGCCATACCAGTTGTTTTGCTAGAGGGCTGGGGGTGGTGACAGAGGGAGGACCTTGTGGGGACAGTGCTCTCCAAGGCCATGGCCCATGGCTGACCCGGCGCAACAGCGTGGTCCTTCTCACAACAGGCCCTGTCATCTCCACTCTGCCCACCCACCTCTGGGCCACCGCAGCTCAGCTGAGCAGATGGCATACTAAGAAGGAAGGTAACAAACAGGTGCTGGCTGAAGAAAATGCAGAAGACAGAAAGTGGTCATAGGGAAGCTTCAAGAACGACCTAGCAAAAGGCGGGCCTTTGGCACGGAGCTTGCAAGCCCTTAGCTGGCTGCCTCCCCTGTCACAGTACTGGGGACTCTTGGATCTCCTGCTGATGTCACTCTGGGCACAGCAGTATGGCCCTGGCATGGTGCAGCCTCAGGGCCTGCAGATATTTATGGAGTGAACAATCGGATACATAATTACACTTTGTATCTCCTTGTCTTGCAAGCAAGTGATTTTTAAAAAAATACTTATGGGCCCAGCGCAATGCCCTAGTGGAGAAAGTCCTCGCCTTGAACATACCAGGATCCCATATGGGCACCACTTCTAATCCCGGAAGCTCCACTTCCCATCCAGCTCCCTGCTTGTGGCCTGGGAAAGCAGACAGGACGGCCCAAAGCCATGGGACCCTGCACCCGTGTGGGAGACCTGGAAGAAGTTCCTGGTTCCTGGCTTCGGATCGGCATAGCATTGGCCATTGCGCTCACTTGGGGAGTGAATCATCGGACGGAAGATCTTCCTCTCTGTCTCTCCTCCTCTCTGTATATCTGACTTTCCAATAAATAAATAAATCTTTAAAAAAATTTAAAAAAAAAATAAATAAAAACTTTCAAGAGCCTCCTCTGGTTCTCCCTCACTGGTGCAGGGTCCCAAGGCTTTGGGCTGTCCTATGCCATTTTTTCCAGACCATAGCAGGGAGCTGGATGAGAAGTGGAGCAGCCAAAATGCCAGTTCTTGCAAGGGGAGGATTAGCCAATTGAGTCAACGTGCAGGCCCTTGAGTAAATGCTTTAAGATAAAACAGCCTGGGAGAGTAGGGAGCCCAGGCACTCAGGGCCCCAGGTGTGGGAGACAGGCTCACTTCCACTGTCCACCTCCCTGGCCCTGAACTGGACCCCACTGCTCTTTTGTGACCATGGCAAAGGCCTCAGTGCACCCAACTCAGCTACCAAACCCAGGAAGGCACCCAGCGTGCTCCACGGCAGAAGCTGGCAGTCCAGGCCACAGGGGTGTTGAGGCACGCATTGTGCCGGCGGTGGAGCGGAGCCCCTCGGCGCCTGCACACGTTACCTACTGCGTCCTGCACTGCCGTCCTCACTGCAGCTTCATCCTTAAACACAGATGACACCTTCAGGAAGGCGGTCACCAGCTTCTCGGGGTCAGATATGTCTGTCTGAGGAAGCCAGAGACAAGGGCTGGTCAGAGATTCAGAGCCTTGGCACACAGTGAGCACATGGTTTTGGGCAATGACAAGAGACCTTGGCGATCTGTGGCCCCAGGAGTCTCTATCCTGCCCCGGGCCATCGTCTGGAATCCAGCCTGAGCCTGGCTCAGAGCAGGTGCAGAAGGCACAGAAGCCCTGGGGTCTCCTTGTCTCTCAACTCCAGATGTCACAGAGCATGGACAGTGCTCACACAGCCTCGTGCCCCTCACATCAGTGACCGCACAGGCAGTGGAAAGGATGCGCCTGCGCACACACACTGGCCTGCCCTCAAGTGTCCCGTCCACTCATCTGAACCAAGTGTACTGTTTCCTAACCAGGAAAATGATGAACAGGGCTAAGAGAAAATGGAACATGAGGACTTCCACTCTGCCATGTAACAAAGAAGCATAAGAAATCACTGGAAACATGGGCTCTCCAAGCCTCCATTTCCTCATCTACAGAAGGAAGTAACAGGAATTACATTTCCAGGTGCCAAGAGAACTGAATAGAATCACGGGCAGCCAGAGCCCAGGAGAGAACAGAGCTTCAGCACCAACCACAAGACAGCAGCATGGGCGGCCTCCTCGCAGCAAGCCTGGAGCCTCAAGAGGTCCTGGCTGGAAGAGTTTTCTAGATCGGGGCCTGTAAAACCCCCAAAGGAACCGAGGCACAGGCACGCACATGCGGCAGTGCTGGGAACATTCCGCACCCGTCACCACTGGACGTGGCAGCCGGCCCTCCCTGCAGCAAGCACACTCCCCGTGGCACAGACCTCCGCTGGCGGCCCACAGATGTGCTGCACATACGCGTGACCACAGGCGTGTCAGCGCTGTGCTCTCCCTCGTCTCTTCTCGGGCACCTTCAGGCACGGCCAGGCTGGGGTCGTTACCTGCTGGGCAATCAGTGAGGAGCTCTTGGGTCCCAGGCGCAGCAGCTTCTCGGGGGAGGGGAATGCCAGGAAGGTGGTGACGTCTGCAGGGGGCGGGGAGGACAGCACGGGCACTGGTTCCTGAGAGGGGTGGCATGGGGAGTTCTGCTGGGGTCTGCCAAATCCTAGAGCCAGCTGTGCCCGCTCCCACCCCTCACTCCACTCAGTCAAAGCTGCAGGCCTAGACCTCTGCCCACCCAGTTCTCCAAAGGATACAGATGCCACAAATGCTCATCCCAGCAGGGTCCTGATATGTGGGAGCAGAGGCTACCCCCCCACCAGAACTCAAAAAGTTGGTATGGCCAAGTAGATGCTCACTATGAGATGCAACAGAGGAAAGTGAGCCATGACAGGCATGCGGCAGCTCAGGCAGAGCCCCCAGACCCAGTCTGGGCACCTGCTAGAGGTACTCAGCCATGACTTGCCACCTAGCTATGCCCAGAACCCGGGGAGGGCCCCAACTCAGCTGGGCAGATCCTGGTTCAACTCAGCGATGCTTTATATGGGGATCTACAAAAGGTCACGGATAAATGAACTGCAGGGGACGCCACCCTGACAGCATTAGGGCCAGGCAAGGACACCATGTGTGCGTTGTAGTTCTGGTTGGTTTCCAGAATGGGGCCTGACCCTAAGGGTCACCAAGATAACTGGTGGGTCTGAGAAATGAGTGAACGTGCACGGGGATAAGCAGAACACAGCCACACGGCCACCCTGGGCTGACCTCCTCCAGGCCAGAAGCAGCAGTCCTGGCCCCGCCCCCAGGAGGATGCCGTCAGACCTCGTGCTCAGGGGGCCCCAGGGTTCGGATCCTGGCAAGACAAGGAGCGTACCCCGCTGTTGGGGTCCAGGATCTTCCTGGGGGGCGTGGCCGGCTCTTCTCCCTTGCCTGGCTGCTGCTGAGATTCTTCTTCCTCATCTTCCTCTTCCTCCTCTTCCTCCTCCTCCTCCTCTTCTTCCTCTTCCTCCTCTTCCTCTTCCCCATCTTCTTCTTCCTCATCTTCGTCATCATCACCTTCATCATCACTGCAGAAAGCAGCTAGCTAAGGTAACCCCAAGGTAACCCCAGTGACCCCAAGGCTCCAGCCGGACATGAGGGCGTCTGGGTGGGATGGGGGCACTGCTCCTGGGACTGGCAGTCGGCTCACTCTCGACAACGGACAAGCACACAGCCCTTTCGGCAGTCACAGAATAACCAGACCTTGTCCTTGTCCCAAAGAGCTCTCAGTACCCCACGAGATAGGGCACAGGAACAAACTATGGCAGGCTGAGACGCCAAGGCAGCCCCACCGTAATCTCGTGACCACAGGCAGGTCCTGCAGCAGGGAGGCAGAGGTCAGCACTGCTACCTGAGGACAACTGTCCCACCTGCCCTGGACCAGAGCTTCCTAAGGTGCCACCTCAGTTCCTGGCAGCAGCACAAGCCTGGCACTGGGACGTCTACCTGAACGTCCTGGAGTGAAGAGAACCTGCAGTTCACCAGGGAAGGAAGTGGGTACTGCCAGCAAAAACCCATCAATTCCACAGGAGTCAGTGCTCTTGCCACCCCATGGATGTTGCAAACTACAACGCTGCTCGCTCACACCCCAGGCTTCTCCAGCTGTGCCCACCTGCAGCCCCTCACTGCCCTCTGTGCCTGCTGCCATCGCTGGGTCAGGATCGGATCTAACCTCACCTTCAGAGCCGCCCAGGCCCTGCAAAGGGTGCCCACGCTAAGCCCCCGGGCTACTTTGCTGGTGACACAATCACTCCCAGAAACCTTGAGGTCCTGTCCTAACCCTGACCCTTGGACCTGGAAGCCTAAGCAGAGAGCCCGACATGTCCCAGGAGCTACACAAAGGCTAACGTGGCAACACGGGAAGGGGGTGGTCTTTTGGATCTCCCACCTGAGGGACGCCAGCACCTTGGCCATGTTGAAGCTGTCGAGTACCTCCTGCAGCTGCTCACAGCCTTCTTCTCCCAGGGCGTTGCCTGTGCGTGGGAAAGCAGGCTGGTCAGGACAGCGCCGGCACCAGGTGGGCAGGTCGGGGCCCTGGCCGCCCGCCCTGACTACCGTTGAGATCCAGTTTCTCCAGCTCCGTCTTGTCCGCCACGGCCTCAGCCACTGCTATGGCAGCATCTCTCTTGATTTCACAGAATGACAAGTTCAGCTCCTAAAAACCAGAGGTCGTGGTGGAAGCACACAGGAATCTGGGCCAAGAGACAGGTCCCACTAAAACTCCCACTTCCCCAGAGAAAGTAAAGCAGGCTCACCCTCCAGAGCAAGAAAGGAGGCGAGAATAGCAACACCGACAACATGGGGTGCATGTTTCCTGAATCACCTGAAGGTGATTTTCTATAGTAACTCGGGTGCCTGTGTTTTAATGGCTCATCTGTGGCGTCACACGGGCACCACCCATGCCACACCCTCTCTCTGGTTTGACAAGTGAAGGAGACACAGAGCAGAGAGGAAGCAGACACAGAACCACAGGGGCAGAAAGCAGAAGGCACACAAACCCAGGTGCACCCGTCCTCCCATCAGGTCCCCTGGACACCCCCTCATAGTGCAGGGGGTGACCTTCACTGCTGGTACCTTGAGCTTGGGTAGACCGCTGCGCACAGCCTCTGCGATGGCAACGGCAGCCTTGGAGCGTACCAGGCAGTCTCCAAAGTTGATCACCTCCACCTGTCGTAAGGTCTTGAGTGTCTGCAAGGAAAGGGTGTAGGGTGGTGAGAGGCCTGCCACGGTCCCACAGTGTCCCATGCCCTGTCACCACACACTGACCTCCTCTGCATCCTGGTCTGGCTACCTCCACACCTCATTAGCTCTTGTGTCTCCTCCTTGCTGGCCTCCAGGGCCCTAGCTAAATCCCTCCCCCTCCACTGCCCATGTTACAGCCACGACTGTGCCTGGATCACAGATCTGACCACACCACGCCATGCACTGCCTGCCTTCCCCGCTTTCCTCTGACTTATTGGGGAAGGATCCGCGGGGTTAGCAAGGCTACAAAGTCTTGCCTCTCTTCTGTATCTGTGAGACACGTGCAGGCCCTGGCCTTGTCAAGCTGCTTCCTGCTCCAGAATGGAGCCTCTTCCAGGAAGCCCATCCCCCTCCTGGCTCGATCTCCCCTCCTGTATGCCCCATGATGCCTGTGCATGCTTCTGCCAGCAGTCACAGCATCATCTGCTGGGCTGTGCACCCTCCCCACTGGGGCCCTGCCCCTTAGGCAGCCAGTCTCCTTAAAGCCAGGGTCGCACCAAACCCTGCAGTGTGCTCTTGCTACAAAGTCGGGCACTAAACAGAAACCTCTCATGGAACAAACCAATGAGGAAGACACAAGACGGGAGCAGCCTGCTCTGTGCCGTATGGACACAAACATCACAGAGGTGCCCACAGAAGGCCAGGGCTTCCCTGTGACACATTCTCAAGTGTGCTAGGCGCTTGGGAGGACACTGCAGGCGGGCAGCGCAGATCACACAGGCAGCAGCCAGGCCGTACCCCTCTGGGCGATGAGCGGGCCCTGCTACCCCACCTCACCTCGGCCATGGCCAGCCCGCCTTTCTCGGTGAAAGTGTTGTCATTGAGGTTGATGACCCGCAGCAGGGGGTTGATGGCAAAGGCCTGGGAGAGGGCTGTGATGCCAGGGTGGTTGATCCCATTCTGTGGCATGTGGACCTCCTCCAGAGTCCCGATGATCTGTGTAGGTGACAGGGAGAAGAAAATTGGCCCAAGTGCCAGTTACAGCCAGTGGGTGGGAGAACAGCCGCAGAGCCGCTGCCCCAGGGAGGGCGTATCTGCAGGGTTTTCAGGAGATCTTCTCCATGGTCTCAGAAAGGCAGAAGCAGGACCCCCACCAGAGCCGAAATCAGAGAGGCTATGTGACTTGCCCCAGGTTCCACAGCTCTGAACTAGAATGTGTGTGTGACAGAACAAGCTCCCATCTGCTGCGTCCCTCCCCAGATGCATGCAAAAGCCAAGGTTAGGACAGAGTTGAAGCCAGCAGCCAGGATCTTCATCCAAGTCTCCCATGTGAAGTCTCCCATGTGGAAGGCTGAGATTCAACTTCTTGAGTTACCAACACTGCGTCCCAGGGCCCATGGCAGGAGGAGCGGAAGCTGGGACTTAAACCAAGGCCTTCCAACACAGGAGGCAGGCACCGCAGCAAATACACTTTGCACCTGTACCCTCAACCTGGTCCTCTGCATGGGGAGGGCGCTGGGCTCAGGTGGGCAGTCGGTGCTTCCCTGGGCATCCCAGTCACCCTGGCCCCTGACAGCCCATCCCGCTTCCGACCCTGTCTCCTCCGCCTCCGCAGGCTGACTCCTAGATCCTCTCAGGTTGGACCCTTCTCCCTGCGTCTCCAGAACATGAGTCCTCCCATGAGTCCTCCATTCTCAGGGGGTCCCCAACCTGCCCACATTCCTGTCTGCACCTCACTGACCCTGAGTTCACCACGAGAGGCCCACATCCCAGCCACTGCCCCACAGGATGGAACAGGCTGGACACTTGTGGCAGTCTCTAAGCATGGAGTGGGGGCTAGGTCTCAGGCAAACACTAGCAGGCCAAGCTTAGGATAAGGGTTAGTCACCCCAGAGTGCTCCCTTCTCCACTGGGCCCCTCAGGGCTCCCATGGGGTTCCATGTCTCAGGGCAAATGTGATGGGAACTATCTCTGTGGCCTGTGTGAGTTCAGGCCAGGCTAGTCAGCGCCTACACCATCATGAGCTCCCACCGCCCACTGCACAGTCCTTCAGGAAGCTGCCCCCAACTCGCCCAGTGGGGTGGGGTGGGGTGCTGACCCCAAACAGCACGGAGGAATTTGGGGCCCTTGGGGACGAGTGCCCAGGCACAGGGAGGAGAAGGTTTTCAGTGCTGCTTGCTCAACTAGGTGCAGGCACAGGCCTGTGCAGCCAGCACTGCCAGTCCACAAGCCTGGCCCGGCGCCGGGGCAGATGGACAGGGACCACATACCCCGAAAGCTTCTGCCAAGGCAGTGGCCCCATCATTCTCCAGACGGTTTCTGCCAGCCACGAAGATCTTCAGGGCCAGTGGCTTGCCTTGGCCACTGGATTTCCGGTAACACTCTGTCAGAGCTGCAGCCAAAATCTGTGGGGAAAGAGAAGGGGTGCAGGCCATGGGCAGGGCTCTCCTCCCTGAGGAATGGCCACTGCGAGTGTCCCATACACCCCAATGTCACAGATGACATCATCTGCCTCTCAGCTTGTGTTGCCTGGCGTGTGGGGCTCAGCCTCAGGGAGACCACGGCCTCTGTGGGGCTCAGCCTCAGGGAGACCACGGCCTCTGTGGGGCTCAGCCTCAGGGAGACCACGGCCTGAGGGAAATGAAGTCAAGCAACCCTAAGGTCCAGGGGGGGAGGCTCCTGGCAGCCCACTGCACGGTCACAAGTCTACCAGGTGGGACCACTGTCATTGCCAGCGTCCAGCAAAAGCAACGGAGGCCTGGCTGTGGCTCAGAGCCACCTGGGGAACGTAAGAGCAGCACCTGCCAACTGCACAGTGGTGAGTGATCGCATCTACACACAGCAGAGAAACAACAAGGTCTGGCTGTAGACCTTTTCAAAGGTGACACCAGATGTGCTGGCTCACCCCCTTAGCCCTTGTTCCACTGAGGCCACTGTGGGTCAGCTTGGGTTCCTGCAGGGATTCAACTGCCAGAAAGACCCTGGTCTGGAAAGCCCCCAGCCCAGGGCACCCTTAATTCCCATCGTCTAGCACTCATTACAACCTGTGGCCTGCAGGGAACAACGTCTAAAGACCTGTAGGCCTTGCTAAAGCCACTGCATCCCGACACCTGCAGCTCCTGACGCACAGGAAAGAGCCAGCTGAGAGAAGGCGGCGATGGAGAACTGCGGGAGTCTCCCCTCACCCTTGCATCTTCACTTCCCTACACTCCATCAGGGACTGGAAGTACCAAACAGAAAGTTCCAGAAATGACTTTAAATTGCATGCAGTTCTGAGTAGTGGGATTAAATCGCTGCATGTCCCACTCGGTCCTGCTGGGGATGAGAGTCACGCTGCAAACATGGTCCACCTGCTAGTCACTGCAGACGGCTCTGCGGGGTCACAGGGCTTGCTGGTGTCCAAGAAACCCAAAACATCTCCCTTTTAAAAAAAATGTATTCATTACTTGCAAGTCAGAGTTACAGAGAGAGAATCTTCCATCAGCTGGTTTACTCCACAAACGGCTACAACAGCCAAAGCTGCGCCAGTTCAAAGCCAGGAACTCGGAGCTTCTTCCAGGTCGTCCACGTGGGTGCAGTGTCCCAAGGCCTGACCCAACCCTGGTCACTGTGGCCATTTGGGGGATTAACTAGCAATGGAAGACCTCTCTAGATTGCCTTCTTTCATATAAAAATAAATTGTACGGCCCGGCATGATAGCGTAATAATTAAAGTCCTCGCCTTGAATGCACCTGGATCCCATATGGGCGCCGGTTCTGGTCCCGGCGGTCCTGCTTCCCATCCAGCTCCCTGCCTGTGGCCTGGGAAAGCAGTCGAGGATGGCCCAAAGTCTTGGGACCCTGCAACCGCGTGTAGGAGACCCAGAGGAGGCTCCTGGCTCCTGGCTTCGGATAGATTCAGCTCCAGCTGAGGCGGCCGCTTGGGGAGTGAACCTTCGGACGCAAGATCTTTCTCTGTGTCTCTCCTCCTCTCTGTATATCTGACTTTCCAATGAAAATAAATAAATAAATCACACACACACGCAGTGGTGTCAGTGGCATCCCATGTGAGTTCTGGTTTGAATCCTGGCTACTCCACTTCTGATCCAGCTCCCTGCTTATGGCCTATAGAAGCAGCAGAAGGTAGCTTAAGTTCTTGGGTCCCTGCACCCATGAGGCAGAGCGAAACAAGGTCCAGGCTCCTGACTTCACACTGCTCCAGCTCTGGTTGTGGGGCCATTTGGAGAATCATCAGTGGATGGAAGATCTCTATCTCTCCTTCTCTCTGTAACTTTGCATTTCAAATAAAAATAAGATCATTGGAGCCCGGCGTCATAGGCAAGTGGCTAAAGTCCTTGCCTTGCCTGTGCTAGGATCCCTTATGGGTGCCGGTTCATATCCTGGTTGCTCTTACATGCGACGGACCGGCTCGGCCAGGAGCAATCAGTCTGACGGGAGCAGGACCCCGGGAACGGTGGGCAAGGATTCCGCGAGTGACAAACACACACAACTCAGGCAGTTGCATCTGAGTGCATTTTCCAAAAGCAAGGCATCAGCTTATATACAATAGATTATTGCAAAGGGACATTTTCTTTGTTTATTCATGTGGTTACATTTCTACAAACAATTATTCCAGGGAGGTGAGCGGGTCTGTTGAGAAAAGATTGTTCTCTAACAGCTTGGTGACAGACTGCGGTTGCTATTTCTTGTGGACGCAGTTTGGCACCAGCTGCAGTTTTAATCATTAACATTAAGCGGTTAGCTCTCATTGTGTTTTGTGCCTTACATTGGTTTTAATATTAACTTGTCTATATTTCTTAGTTTTTCTTCTTATATGGTTTTTTAAGCTATAGATTTCTACTGTAATCTTCTTTTTAGGAATTTTCAAAAATAGTCCCAAGTAGGTTTATTAACGCAAGTGACCTGATAGTTTTTACCCACACTGCTTGCTGTCCTTGTCCAGTCTCCTGTCAGAAGGCTTCATAGAACTATAAAGGAACATTGAGCCTTTGCCACACATGAACAGTATTATTCCAGACATAAAGATAAGAGCAAAGAGAGCACAGCCAGGAACGCCAAGACCACTAGTGACGCAGCCGAGTCCAGGAGGCATCCTTAAGCTTCCGCCTCGGCCCGGTGATTTCTCACGCAGGCTCCACTGGAGGTGGTGTGACACATTTTTTCTTTTACAAGATTTACTTATTTGAAAGGTATAGTTACAGAGAGGAGAAGGGAAAAGGTGAGAGAGACAGAGTAAGAGAGCTATCTTCCATCTGCTGGTTCACTACCCAAATGAGCCCCAGCAAGCAGAGCCGAGCCTGATGGAAGCCAGGAGCTTCATCCGGGTCTGTCACATGGTACAGGCACCCAAGGACTTGTATCATCTTCCACTTCCTTTTCCACGTCACTAGTAGGGAGCTGGGATCAGAAGTGCAGCAGCTGGAACCCGAACCAGTGCCCACACCAGACACTGGCATTCCAGGGAGCAGCAGCCCCTAACTGTTCTTTTGTTTTTTTCCAATCTCCATCAGCGGCTACAAGCACCCACTGAGGACCTGGAACACTACAGCCCGTGGCTGAGCAGGATTATTTGCAGGTTACGGAGCTGGCCTATGGAGGCAGCCCTGGCACTGGGCCCCAAAGTTCTCTGCTCCCCCAGCACACAGGCCCGCCACCCAGAGTGCGGTCAGATGGGAAGGCCCACGGGCCAACTGGCAACATGACACAACAGACAGGACGTGACAAGAAAGGTGGGACATGCTACAGAGTCCTTGTTCTCCCAGCACACCTTGGCACTCAGGGTGAGGGGCACCTGTTCTCTGTGTAAAGGTAAACGTCATGTGACTTCTGCACAGTCTACTGCCAACATGGGCTGGGAAGAAAGTCTCCCTCCTAGCGGGCAAAGACAAGCACGTGTGCACACACACACAGGCGAAAACAGGACAGAGAAAGAACCTCAGTCAGCCTAAAACAGTCTCTGTACCATTGGATGTCAACTGCCACTGGTACAGTCCAGGGCAAAGATACAACCAAGGGTTTTCTCTCAGCACCAGCTACCAAATCCGAGCCCCACTGCCTCGGGGAGGACCTGTGAAAGTGCTGCGGAGAGGCAGGCTTCTCTAGGGTACTGCAAATGCCCTCTGAAACTTCCCACCTGGAAAACAGCCTTGTGGCTGAGGGCTCAGGCCGTACACGTACCCATACCATCTACGTGATGTGCTCAGCCCCACTTCTCTGAGCCCATCTGCTCATGGGGAGGTGGAGAAGCAACACTCCCCTTTTCAGTGGAGAGAAGCAACATCATACGTCTCAGTCACATCCCCAGCACTCTCCTCACCTTGGTCATAAACGAGAACATGTGGTGTGCCAGTATGTGCGTGTGAGACAGGGACACAGACCACTATGTGCAACGACCAGGCTGACTTGCTGGCAAGACGGGCAGCATCTGAGCATGGCAGCACCTCCCCTCATGTCCAGCTGCTCGGAGAGCCTGACAGGGACAGGGATGCCCACGGCCTGCATCTGCAGAGCCAGAAGGTTGGGGCAAGTACGCAGCCACCTTGCTTCTACGTTGCCAAGCCAACCCAGGAAACTGGGATGGTTGCCTGGCAACCCACCCTCGTCTTCTCTCTCAGCTTCAGATGCTGTCTTGGAGGCCTTTCTCCTTTGAGGACAAGCATGCTGCTGACCACCACAAAGAGCCGGCTCTCCAGCAGCAAACTGGCACCCACCTTGCCACCACCAATGCCCATGCCACAGTTGTTGAGCTTGAGCTCCCGCAGGGTGAAGCAGGTGGGGCTCTTGAGCAGAGCCTCGAAGCCACGTACTCCATCAGGCCCAAACGCGTTGTCACTCAGGTCCAGCTCCACCAGCTGGGCTCCCGCTGTGATGAGTCCCTCCCCTAGGGAGATCTGGGCACAGAGAAAACGCAGGTCATTTTCAGCGTGCTGCTCCTGTACCAGGCTCAGTACACCCTCAAGGACACCCAATGAGAGGGTAGGGGGAAGACAACCCATTTCAGTCCAGAGCTTTCTGTGCCATATACCTAAGACTGGAAACCCTGCAGAGAGCCTGGAGGACTCACAGCCTGGGAGGACTGGGAGGATTGGTTGGTGGCACCAGCCAATCAGCGTGATGGATTACAGCTGCTGCTGCCATAGAGACATGCAGAGACCAAGCATGAAGCAGCAAGCCGAGTGCCACAGCCAGGAGCTGCTGAACTGGAGAAGATGCCATGGGGGCCACAGCCAGCAAGAACCTTCCACGCCAGCTCAGAACTATGGCCCTGTGCCTGACAGCACGAGACTCTGCGGTGGCCAAGGGTCATGGAGGGAGTGTCCTTCAGGCAATCGGGCAGAGGAAGACTGGAGGCTACCAACCCAAGGGAGGACAGGGTGCTAAGGCAGGGAGTAGAGAAGAACCGGGCCTCTTCATGCAAGGTGGGCAGGCCACCGAAACTGGGGGTACCTGGATGTGGAGGGAAGGGACCCTAAGTGGCCTCCAGGAATATAGCAGGTAACTGGCACATGGAGGCAGCCGCCACAAGGCAAGGCCCGGGCCAGATTTGGTAGGACACTGAGCTGTGCTGGAAACCCTTTGGGGACACCAGCATCCCCCGTGGGAGCTGGTTCGCAGAGAGAAGGCTGCAGAAGAATAGAGGAGAAGTGGGCTGGTCAGGCGGCTGACTGGCAGAAATGCCAGCGAGTGGTCCTTCTGCCCACGCCAGGCCTTGGATGTGCTAGTTGTGGCTGTTCCTATCATCTTCATCTCTGATGGCCTTGCCCCGACCGACACCCAGCCCCTCACAGCCACACATCATCACCCGCTGGGTTTCATGTCCTCCCCGATCCCAAATTCTCTTCTCCCCTCTCCACAGACCCATTCTCAGGGCCATGAGTATGGAGACAAAGGCTTCTCCAAGCCTGAGGAAATTCAATGCTGAAGTTGAGGAAAGCTTCTATAGCCGAGGGGAATCCCACTGTGCCACAGACCCAAGGCATTCCTTGAGCTTCCTTTCTACCAAGTACCTAAATGGATTCATTCAACCTGTATTCTAACCCCTTGTCTCACCTTGTCTGGTTTATCCTTCCAGGCCAGGTCCTAATCCCACCAACTCTGAGGCCTCCTCAAACCCTACCTAGGAGCCTTGCTCCAGGACAACACCCCAGTGCATGACACACTGTGCCTGCAGAAGTGAGCTCGGAGCTTGTGTGTGAATGCAGGCCCATGCAGGCTAGAAGACGGGAGGCCCATGGAGGAGCAAGGACACAGACAGGGCAGGAGCCCCCACCCACACCCAGCCCCTCAACAGGGAAATGGAGGACAGAAGCAGAGGGAAGCCAGCCACAAAAAGAACAAAAGCCAACAAGGGAAATGGGGAAGGGAAAGGCCTTAGGACAGGCAAGGACAGCCTGTGGGTATGTGCAGATGCGGGAAGTGAGGGCCCAGGCCTTAGCGTGCAGGGGAGGTGGTGCTAGGAGAGGGCTGTTGTGTGGCAGAGAATCCAGAGTGAGGCAACAACCCCACAGCCCTCTGGGAGGAAGCCCAGGGACCCTTGGACTCAGCCCTGCTGCTCCCATCATCCCTCGCGTTCTCAGCATCCCTCCTGGCAGGACACAGGGGAGATGCAGGCCTTGGATGACTTCACGTCAGACTCCAAGTCACCCAGTGGGCCCAGCTTCTGGAATATGCCCTGCTGGAGGAAGAAGTCACAGGGAGTGCCCAGGGCACCCTGCATCCACTCACCAGTGCTGGCGGGATCTCAGACCTCAGCCTTCCTGTGAACATGTCGCTCCAGTGGCATCGCTGTGGGGATACGGGGGTGGTATTAGCTGGAGACCCTTAGAGCAGGCCCACCACAAAGAAGCCCCTCAAGTAAGCAGTACGTAAATAGCCAAAACTGAGCTGATCCAAAATTAGCAGCCAGAAGCATCTTCTAGCTCTCACATACAGGTGCAGGGTCCGAAGGCTTTGGGCTGTCCTCCACTGCTTTCCCAGGCCACAGGCAGGGAGCTGGATGGGAAGTGGAGCAGTTGGGACACAAACCAGTGCCCATATGGGATCCTGGTACATATAAGGCGAGGACTTCAACCACTAGGCTACATGCACTAGGCCTTTTATTTCTTCTTTTTCTTTTTATAAATCAATGCATATATTAAAAAAATAATACTAAATAAGATACATTTACTTAAAACGCAGAGTTACAGAGAGAGGGAGAGATAGAGAGATCTACCAAGTGCTGATTCACTTCCCAGCTGGCCACAACAGCTGGAGCTGAGCCAGCTGGAAGGAAAGAGTGGGTCTCCCATGTGGGTGGAAACGGCCCAAGCATTTGAGCCATCTTGTATTGCTTTCCCAAGTGTATTTGCAGGGAGCAGGATTGAAAGCGGAACAGCTGGGACTCCAACTGTTGCTAACAAGTGACATCAGCATCAATCCTAGGGAACAAGGACAGCTAACGAGCTATGCTGTACACGCCTAGACACTTCACACGCAGCAGCTTTGGCCACCTCCTGGACCCTTGAGCCTCACGGGTTTGTCAGCACTACCTCTCAAAGGCACCTGCTGGCCAATTTCGGGTCCACACCGCCTCAGTGTTAGACTTACACTGTAACTAAGGCTTGCCCCACAAACCACCTGCACCCCAATACCACCTTGGAGCCTGCTCACTGCCAAAGGACAAGAGGGGCTCAGTAGTGCTGTGTTCTCAAGATCACCAGAGAAGAGCATGTGTCTGGGTAACCATCAACAGGCCAGGAAGGGTGACGTACTCAAAAGCTTAGCATCAGGTGGCCTGGGCCTCCTGGCCCTGCACAACTCACCTTCAACTCTGACTTCTTCTCTAAGGCCTTGGAGATGACCCTGGCCGCTTCCACACCCACCGTGTTGCCCTCCAGGCGCAGAGCCTCCAAGCCATCGAACTCTTCAATCTCTTTAATCACATCTTTGGCTGCAGGAGACCAGAGAACAGAAGTTTAGACTTTGGGGGTCACGATGAGCTGAGGCAACAGAAAGCTCAGCAGCTACTACATCACTCATACACTCCAACACTCCCAGCCCCCTAACCCGCGCTGGCCTGGCTTACGGACAAAAATCAGAAAGGCCCAGAGTCCAGAAGGGTGCATGAATAGGCAGAAGGTTCTGGTGCAATGAATGTAAAACAGGCACACACAAAAGGTCAGGCGTGGGCCTGGCGCAATAGCATAGTGGTTAAAGTCCTCGCCTTGAATGTGCCGGGATCCCATTTGGGCACCGGTTCTAATCCCGGTGGCCCCACTTCCCATCCAGCTCCCTGCCTGTGACCTGGGAAAGCAGTTGGGGACGGCCCAAAGCATTGGGACCCTGCACCCACATGGGAGATCAAGAACAAGCCCCTGGCTCCTGGCTCCGGATCGGCTCAGCTCCAGCCATTGTGGCTGCTTGGGAATAAATCATCAGATAGAAGATGTACCACTCTGTCTTCCCTTCTCTGTATATCTGACTTCTCTGTATATGTGACTTATTGATTTTTTTTTAAATAACAAAGGATAGGTCTGGGGCTGTTTATGACACTCACATCCCATAAGGAGACAAGGAAGGAGCTCCTGGCTCCTGGCTTTCACACTGTGGGAGTAAATCAGCAAGTGGAAAGTCTCTCTCTCTCAGATAATAAAGAAATCTTTTCCAATAATAATAATAATAATTTTTTAAAAGGCTAATTCACTCACATACAATAGGTCAAGGAGTGGGGAGACCCAGCCTGAGCTGCTTGCTGGCTTCCCAATGGAAGACCACGGGCTCTCTTCCTCCAAAAAAAAAAAAAAAAAAACCCCAGCTTCTGGAGATCTCATCTGGGCCAAGATACCTCAAGCATTCTCCTCAACATCTGGTGAACTGGCACTGCGGCGTAACAAGTTAAGCCTCTGCCTGCATCCCATGTGGGCGCTGATTCAAGTCCTGGCTGCTCACTCAGGTGGCACAAGAACTTACCATCTTCTGCGGTGTTGAGTTTGAGACTTTTGCCCTTGAAACTCAGCTGTCCTCCAGCCACCTGTGTCTTGGCCAGGGTCTCTGCAAGCTTGGCAATGTCTTCAGAGGCCATGACGGCCACAAGGGTGGGCTCCCCTGGAGATCTGAAAGCTGAGAAGGCCACGACTGCATTCAGGAGCAGGCCTCTCTGGGGGACTAGTCAGGGCAGACAGAAAGGGACAGCCACCTCCGGGCTAAGTCCATTGAAACCTCTCCCCAGCCAATTCTGCCCCCCAGTCCTCAGCATCTGCCAAGCACAGACCCGCCTCATCATCTTGGCTGCTCTCCGTTTCAGGGTCCCAATCCTGGATGCAGATGGGACCCAGGTCAGCCATCCCAGAGAAAGGCCCCCACACCCACTGGCATGACTCTGGGTGGGCTAGGGGTCAGCCCTCTGCATCTCTGCTCTTAGCCCGAGGCCTCCCGGGCTCCTAGGTAACCATCATCACAATGGACTGCTGTGGTGTCTCTCCCACAACAGCATCCAGAGCCCAGATGTGCGGGACTCCCACTACCACTGAGCTATGAGAGTTCAAGGTGGAGGCCAACCAGGGCTTCTCCCATCAGTGCTGACACTGGCTAAAGACACCCACAGATCGCTTCACTTCCCGGGATGGGCAGGGTGCTAATGCCAGCCCATGGCCAGCTACAAACTGGAGTTCCCACAACCCGGCCCTGGGATCCACCAGACACTCTTGAGTACTTGGGGATACACTTACTATGTTGATTAGTTTGATACAAACAGCCAGATGAAGAAGATACATGTGGTGGCAGCATGCAGACTGGCTGCAGGGCAGGGAGTGCCTTCCCCAGGGACCAGCCTGTGGCTGTGCAGCTACCCCACAGCGCCCAGACTGTGCCCTCGTGGATGTCACAGGGACCACCCGACGGGCACAGCAGATGAACTCAGTGGCGTGCTAACCCTTCAGCACCTCCCCCTTCTCCAGGGGCAGGCAAGGGGCTCTGGGCTGCAACCATCTGTGCCTGCCTGGGTCTCTCACGCGACCCTCACCCTGCAGAGGCTACCCGGGAATTGCCAGCCAGCAATCTCCTCGGGTTACAGAAGGGTGGGCATCGTGGCACAGCCCACTTGTCAAATTTGAGTGGCTGGGAATGAGTCTCGCCTCTGCTTTCCGTCAGGGACCTGCCCCTGTGCCAGGTGATGGCCCAAGTTCTTGGGGCCCTGGCTCTTGTAGGCATTCAGGGAATAAACCAATGAATGGAAAAGCTCTCTCTCTCTCTCTAAATGATCACTTCTCAACCTAAGATTTTGGGAACTCTATGCCTGGCTGAAGGCCCAAGCCACATTTTACACCGTCACAGTTGGGCAAAATGACGAACACCACATCCCGAGAGAAGAAAAGGCAGGCAGCCATGGGACCGAGGGACAGTGACTGAAGGGAGAAGCAGGGGTGCTACCACGAAGTCTCCTACCCCGCTGCTGTCCTCAGATCCTGATCGTGCCGCACAACCCATCCCAGACCTGCTGTTTTCAGCTAACCAGCTTCCCACCTCTCCCCATCTCGCCCCCTCCGCCTCACGGCCGTGTTTTGTCAATATGCCTGCACTACTCTTCTAGGTAAGCCAGTCAGTGACTCATCAAACAAAACAAAACCTTCCCAGCTTGGACCACTCGATCCTGCACACTGCTGAAGGGACCAGGTAGGCTGCAGCAGCTGAAAACAAACTCCTGCCTTCTCAAGCCTGTGTTCTTCACCGGATCCTCAGCATGTGAGACTGGGATCCAAACACACAGGCTGCTGGGCGGATCTGAGGTGGCGCCAGAGTAGGGAAGGAGACGAAAGGCGCTCTCAGGGCCTGGATTGAGGCGCGCCACGAAGGAGGCGGCAGCTGCAAGCTGACAGAGAACGACGCCGGGGGAGAGCCGACAGGAGCATCCTAGAGGGCTTCCCGCCTAACGCGGCGTCCCCCACCCTCACCCACCATTCCACCCGCGGCTCCGGGCGTGGGCTCTTCAAGGCGCCTACCAAATGCCCGGGGAATTCACCTGAGCCCGCCTCGCCCTTCCGGCCTGTGAGGTCAGAAAAATCACGGAAAAAGAGAGGCACCTGCCGGCCTCCCCTCCCCGCTCTCCACGCTAAAAGATCAAGGTCGGCCGGCGGCTCCGCAGGTGCACAAAACACCCACCGCTCCCGCGTCAGCAGCCCGAGGGAACCCCAGGCCCCAGGGAGGGTCCGCGTCCCCCCGAACCACGGTCAGCTGAGGCGAGGGGCCCGACCGTACCGTCAACAGGCGCCGCCGCGTGCGGGGAGCGAGCGGGGAGTCCGCCCGCTGGGGCGGAGACTGACGGACCGACTCCCGGGCCCGGGCGGGCCAGCCGAGCGTCGCCGCCTCAGATCCAGCGGCCCCGATGACCAGGCCACTCGCGTCTGTCTATTCTCCCGGGGAAGAGGCGGGACCGGGAGACACCGAGGATCCTCGTCACTCGCGTCTCCCACACCACCTGCTCTGCACACGGCGGCGGATGATGGCGGAGGAGGAGGATTTTGAAAGCCGGCAGTTTCTTTCCTTTGATTTGATTTGTTCCAGCCCAGACCGGCTTCCCTCAGCCCCGCGCGCGCGCGGCTCCTTGGGTAAGGAAGTCCAGTTCCCCCGTGAGGACGCGGCGGGGCGCGAGCCGCGGACTACCGGTCCCAGAAGGCCACGCGCCCCGAGCACCGGCACCTTCTTCCGGTTCGCTGCCCCCGCCGTCGCGGCTTTCTGGCTCTTTCTCGCGGAGACCACAGGGCCGCCTTGCTTCGGGAGGCTGACAGAGAGACTACAGCTCCCATGATGCCATGCGGGCCGGTCTCTCAGGTCTTTCGGAACGACCCCTCCTCTTTCACGTTCCAGTAGTTTCATTGACAAAGGCTGGTCCTGCAGTGGCGTTCGCTGCGTGGTCTCTTCAGCAAGAAGTGGGGGTTCGTTTTCTGGTTTTTTTTTGGTACCGTCAAGACTTCTCCAAGGGAGGAAATGACGGATACCTAAGCTGAGGGCAAACTCCAGAATAACGAAAATGTGTGTGACTTATAGCTGATAAACAAACAAAGGAGACTGGAAAGATGTGATAACTTAAGGCAGCCCGTGGTCCTGTGTCAGATCCTGAGCCGGTTTTCTATAAAGGAGCCAGGTTATATAGCACAACGCGTGAAGTCACCTGAGATTGGCATGCGCAGTCCCGCTGCGCCACCTCCAACCCAGCCATCCTCGGAGGAGTCCCCGCTTCAGCCTAGCCAAGCCCTAGCTAGCTGTTCGGGCCATCTGGGGAGGGAACCAGCACATGGCCGATCTCCCAGATCTCTGTTCTTCTGCTTGCTTTATTATATTTTTTTAAGATTTTATTGGAAAGGCAAATTTACAGAGGAGAGAAGGAGAAACAAAGAAGAAAAAGATCTTCCATCTGCTGGCACAGCTTAACCAACCTGAAGCCCGGAGTGTCTTCCAGGGTCTCCCACACGGGTGCAGGGTCCCAAAGCTTTGGGCCGTCCTCCATTGCTTTCCCAGGTCACAGGCAGGGAGCTGGATGGGAAGTGGGGCTGCCAGGATTAGAACCGGCGCCCATATGGGATCCTGGCGCATTCAAGGGGAGGACTTTAGCCACTAGGCCACCACACTGGACCCCAATAAGTACGGGGTTTTTTTTGAATATTTATTTATTTTTATTGGAAAGGCAGATATACAGAGAGGAGGAAAGACAGAGAGGAAGATCTTCCATCTGATGATTCACTTCCCAAGTGAGCGCAATAGCCAATGCTGAGCCAACCCGGATCCAGGAACCAGGAGCTTCTTCTAGGTCTCCCACAGGTGCAGGGTCCCAAGGCTTTGGGCTGTCTTCCACTGCTTTCCCAGCCACAAGCAGGGAGCTGGATGGGAAGTGGAGCAGCCGGGATTAGAACCGATGCCCGTATGGGATCCCAGCCCATTCAAGGGAAGGACCTTAACTGCTACGCTATTGTGCCGGGCCCAGTAAATACATCTTAACAGCATAAATGTTGTTAGTTCTGTGTACTTCTCTGGCTGATGAATTGAACCTGAGGGGAGGGTTATGGAATGTTAGTGAATAGCTGGTCAGTAAGGAAAGGACTGGCCTGGACAGTGGGGTACAGGGTTGTGGGGTAAGCCCTCCAGCTATCGAGTCAGATGGTTCTGCAGGTAGATGGCATCAGAGCTGTAGCAGAGCTGAGGACACTCAGCTGGGTGCGTGCTTCCCAGCACTGGCAACAGGTGCAGCCAAAGTCACACTGCTGAAGGACACCAAGCCAGCAGAAGAGATGCAGTGAACCCTCTCTCCTGCACACCTCCAAATCTGGATCTGCTCAGCCAACCCATAGGAAGCTAAACCCCGATAGAGTGGGGATGGGAAAAGGAGGTACCTATTGCAGCCCTGTAGAGCAACGCGCTGGGCAGATTGCTTATTCCCCAGGCCCTCCTGAGGAGTGGAAAGGTTGGGAGTTAGGGCTGAGAGTGTGTGATCAGCTCATGTTCAAGTTCCTGCTTGGCCTGGAGGTCTCATGACCTTACTTGGATAGGTCAGGGATGCTGTGCATTTTAGACAATTTAGGATGGTCGGGCCGCGGTGGTTACATCTAAGTGGTAGTCACCTCTCCGAGAGTGGAATTTCCCAGTCTGGACCCGGAATTCCTCTCAGCAGACCCTACTGGCCAAGGCTGGAGGTTTGAGCCATCAGAGAAGCGAGTGGCTGCTGCAGTCCCTGTGGTCAGAATCCCACGAGGACGACTGCACCACTCCGAGTCAGGACCCGCTTGGGCGGAGGGAGACGTCCAAGACTGTGGGTCCTGCCCGGTCATGCCAGGGCTCAGGGTCAATGAGCTCAGGGTCCGGACCCCCATTTCCTCACTGTACTTCAGAGCTGGGCAGGCCCTGGGCCGGTCCTCTCACACAGCTTGGCAAGGCAGTGGGCATGACTCCCTTGAGGAATCAAAACGGCTATGAGGGCATTAGAGTCAGGTCACTGGTGCAATGGAAAATGGGGTGTTTGTGTTTCCCTAAAAGCTGCTTTTACCACCCATACCAAGTCCACACCCAAGGTTCTGGTTTTCTCAAGAGAGTAACAAGGGAGCTTTTCCCACCTCTCCAAGTTGTTAATGTTATCATGAGGATGGAAAGAAATGACCAGAGTCAGCGTGATGGTTCCAAGCTGATCCTCTGCCTGCGAGCACCAGCATCCCATCTGGGCACTGGTAAACGTCCCGGATGCTCTTTCAACTCCCTGCTTGTGGCCTGGGAAAACAGGTGAGGATGGCCCAAGCCTTGGGACCCTGCACCCGCTTGGAACACCCGAAGAGGCCCTGACTCCTGGCTTTGGATTGGTGCAGCTCCAGCCATTGCGGGCCATGCGGGTAGTGAATCATCGGATGGAAGCTATTCCTCTCTGTCTCTCCTCCTCTCTGTATCACAGAAGGCTGAGCAACTGCCATGCAGGTCACTACCGCAGCCGGGACTTCTGCGGACCTGCGGCTAGGCCTGGTGCCTTCCTGTTAAGGTTCCTAAGGGGCCAGGGACCCAGGTCTCCTTTTCCAGTTGTATATGAGACTTCTTTGATCCTCAGAGGCAGATGGGTTGTAGATCTTTACTAGGGCTGCTCTGCTTCCTGCTGATGCACCTCTGGGGAGGCAGCGGGGAATGCCACAGAGTGTTTGTGTTGCCACTACTCACCCTGGAGACCCAAACTGAATTCTGACCTCCTAGGTTTGACCTAGCTCCCAGTCTTGCTGTTGTGGGGGCATCTGGGGAGTGAAGTAGCAGATAGAAGGTCTCACTTCATCTCTTTGTTTTTGTTTTCAAATAAAATGAAAAATATAGAGACACAAAGTAGAAAGTGTTAGATGATGACTACTGCCCGCCCAGGGGCAGAATAATATTGGCAAGTTGTCCAAAGTTGTAATGGAAGCTTTATTGGAAAATCCGCTCCTGGGCCACCTTTTGTACAGAGTGGAAGGAAGATGGAGGCAAAAGGGCCTCTGAGATACGGGTTGAGGAGTTTTATACTTCTCTAGACACATGGGCAGGCCGAGGGGCTGTCTGTGCCCCAACTATGCAAGGAATGTCTGTTCAGGTGTGCCATTGGTCAGCTGGAATCCACCAGGTCGGCGACGTAACTGGCTCCTGTGGCCCCTCCTAGGAGTTCCAGGTGAAGCCTGACCAGCCTCTCGCCCCCAGTGCCCTGGGCAGCCGTCAGGGTGCATGTGGAATGAGAGCTGTCCCTGTGTACAGCAACAGCACGGGTGACATCATCTCGCTTCCCTGAGTGTCCCCTACACCCCAGAGCTCATGCGCTACCTCCAGGAGGTCCGCTCAGCATCCTTCCCAAGACAGACAGGTGGGGGTCCCTTAGGTCTTCCCTTTCTTCATTTCAACAGGTGAAGAACTGAGACCCTGAGAATCCAATGACCCACCCACTTTACACAGACAAGAGAGATAAGTCAGGTCCCTGGGGGTTGGCAGCCACAGATTTTCCTGGTTCACCTGAGTGTTTTAAATTCTGTTCTGGTGTCTGAAAGCAAAACTGATTATAAATGGATTAAGTAACAATATTTATGGCTGTTAAAAAAAATAAAATAAAAAACAGACTGCAGACTTGCCTTTGAGTGCCATGGAAAACAAAGGACCCAAGTATGCCTGACATGCGAGGAATGTGGAGAGACTGTCCCTAGTCTGGGGAGAGGGTGGAGGCCCAGCAGCCACCCCCACCCACATGACAAGGTGGGCTGGGCCAGGGGCGGTGGCCAGCATTCCCAGTCTGAAGGACACTCCCCTTGGGTTCAAGCCCAGGCTCCACAACCACAATACATTAATTTTTTCTTTCAACTTCAATAAATAATCTTGGCTAGGGCCCAGCGCGGTAGCCTAGCGGCTAAAATCTACCTCTTGCAAGTGCTCAAGTCTTTGTCTTACAAGTACCAGGATCCCATGTGGGCACTGGTTCTAATCCTGGCAGCCTGGCTTCCCATCCAGCACCATGCTTGTGGCCTGAGAAAGCAGCTGAGGATGGCCAAAGCCTTGGGACCCTGCACCCGCGTGGGAGACCCGGAAGAGGCTCCTGGCTTCGGATCGGCATAGTATCGGCCGTTGCGCTCACTTGGGGGGTGAATCATCGGATGGAAGATCTTCCTCTCTGTATCTCCTCTCTGTATATCCGCCTTTCCAATAAAAAATGATAAAAAAAAAATTGGTGCCTGCATGCGATGCCAGCATTACAGGCAGAGGCTTGACTTACAACGCCACGACACCACTCCCTGCCCCACTTCTAATCCAGCTCCCTGCTAATGCGCCTGGGAAAGCAGCAGAAGACCCAGAAGAAGCTCCTGGCTCCCAGCTTGAGCTTGGCCCAGCCTAGCTGACAGCACCATCTGGCGAGTGAGCAGCAGATGGAAGATCTCTGTCACTCTGTCTTTTGAATAATTAAATCTTTAAAAACAAAAAACATTCCTTGCTGAAAGGTTAGGGCCTGGGGCATTTGCAGAGTGAGGAAATGAACCCTGCAGCTG